TATTTTATATTGTTATTATTTATTGTAGCCTGTAATAGTTGAATTAATATTTTAATATTATCATTCCTTATTCTTTTCTATATAGTGATAAATAAAGCGTTAGAAATTAAAATCCCGCATTCAGTTTCCCGTTTTTTAGCGGTTTTTCGTAATTTGCCAGTGGTATTTTCTGTGGCATTAAAATATTATATAACTATTGAGAAAATCGAAAAATGATCTCTTTAAAGTACCATCTAGATCCAATTCGCTAAAAGATAAGATACTATATATTGAAATCGGAGCGCTCCTTCTGGTATAAATTTTGTATACAGGATAAAAAAAAAAAATAATAATAATAATAAACACCATTGTAAAACCACTAGCATCCTCGTTCCGCTCAGAATGTAAAAAAAAATTGACAATGAATAATATCGAGTGAAAACATGTCATTAGCATTCGACGTCATACGATCACGCTCACCTAATTTAACCGTAGGTACCTATTTATCGTCGTCGGCGTCGGTGAGTGAGACAGTCCAATAGAAATTAAATACCGACCGCGAAGGGCTTAAACGAACCGTATCCGACGAAAGTGTTTAATGTGATAATATACACATATAATACACTATATTATATACCTAAGTGATACAAGTGTACGTGTGTGTGTATGTGTACAATATAGTCATAAAGGTGTGTAGATGCGACCCTGCGAGTAGCGCCTTTAATGTAATGTATCCCCGTCGTAAAGACCCGACGCGACGACGACAACGCGACAGACACGATAATATATTACATTATTATATAATATACTGCTGTCATACTGTGTCCTGGCAGCTTCCGGATTCCGTGCGAGACAATTATAGTAATGCACCCGAAAGAATGAAAATAAAAATAAAGTACCGGATACTACAACAGCCCGATACAACAATCGGCCCTTGCACGATATATGATGGTGCATAATAATTAGCCCTCCCGATCGGTTTTCAAGTAAACTTTTTAACGTCGGGCTGTGAATTTAACGCATTTGTTCGTTGTTGTTGTCGTTGTCATTTTTTTTTTCGCTACTTAGTAGAACGAATTATAATATATCGATCAAAATGTGTTATACATTGCCACTATACTATATATAGGCATATAATTTTATGCACATTATACGAAATTCTGATTTGAATATTTTGGCTTACTTGGCGGTTGGCCCATAATCCGCACATAATTTTATTAAAATATTCTCATTTTACCACATTGTTCGTACTATAATAGATTATTATATACTTGAATCAATATTATGCATTATTTACTTATATGGAGTAATTTTTAGTAAACAGAAATCTTTAAAGCTGGGACTCTTCTGCAGTGAACTATAACTGGAGACTCGAAATTGGCAACTACCAGTACAACTTTGCGATGCTTAAAATGTATATAAATAATATAATTTAATATTGAATAGTGACAAATATTGTAGCAAATAATAATTTTATTAATAACAGATTAAATATAAATAACACAAAGCAATTTCCAATAGGCAATATCAATTGTTAATGAAAATCAATACACTATTTCTTATCTATTAGCGATTATTCAAAAGTAAACCGTGTTATTATTTATGATTGAAGACCAAATTGAAATAAAAAAAAAAAACACTTAGCCTGAAAGAATTCGACACCCCGAATATCTGCTATCCTTGTAACTGATCGTTTATATGAACTGATTGAAGGCAGCGTTTACGTGCACGTGGCCGTTTGAGTCGTCAAACGACATGGTGTATGAAACACTATAATATTATTAGTAAGGAATGGTTATTGCGGTTTGCACTAATAGTCTCCACGTTTGAACTCTTCTTTGCGAGTTTTTCTTATTTAATATGGTTCTAGTCCAATTTGATTACACATATAACATTAAGCTTATCCATGAAAATCCAAACTGGGGGTAATTTATAATATTTCTTGCGCTTAGTCTAAATCCCGTTTTGTAAATTGTAAGTATATTTCTTCCTGTAGTGGTTTTTAAACTTTTAAATAATTTTGGGTTAACCTATGGTCCTATAAAAATTATTGTTATTAGTTTGCAGATTTCGTAATACATTATAATATGACATATTACTGTTTAGTAATGGCCAAGGACTTTCAATATTTATTTTTTGTTCTAATAGAAAGTATTTATATGAATTATCCGGAGAAGTGTTTATACTTTATGAAGTTAGTTCATAATAATATTTTTCAATTATATCATTCATACAGTTTTAAACCATTTTTTGATAGTCACATATTTTCATTTTATTTCTTTTTATATCTCCATCATTATATTATACAACTGCAGTGGGTAGTCGAATATACAATTTAAAGAGAACATCACATTATTATACACATACAATTTCGATGTATGGGGGACGGAGTGGCAGATCGGATTAAGGCGTCGGTTGCGACGCACACCGGCGCTTGTTCGAACCCTGTCGCGGGTGGCATTTTTCTTCGGGAAAGTCACGGTGTCCGGAGAAAAGAGCCGCCCCATCCCCCACCTTGGTATCCCAGATACCTACGGCTGCCCATTAAAAAATCTGCCAAACCAAAAACACACGTGTTTACAAACCTACAATTTCTCCCCTACAAAACCAAAAAACAAACAACCTCAGTTGCCGGGCTTTATGATCAATTAAAAAAAAAAATGTCGATATATTTTCAATAATATTGTATTTTGAAAATAAAATATTATACCTAGGTTCTAATCACTTAGTAAAAATTAATTAATTAATTGGGTACTTATATATAAAATATTGATTTTTGAACAATGTTTTAAAATGTTATGATAACTTTTGATTTTACACTAATTTCAACTGTAAGGCTATAAACCACAATGATAGATACTGAGTAAGATATTTTTCCTTGATAAAGTATCATTTTAAGCATTTTGTTTCTTTCAATAATTAATAACTAGGTTCAAAATAATGAGGGGACATTTTTTTACTACTACACAATAAGTTCTCTAACCTATTTACATCTTGAATTAGATAAACGAACGAACATTACTAACATTTACTATTCAATGGACAAAAGAAGACATATTTTATGGGATGCGAAAAGATATATTTTTTTGACAGTGACGTATTTTTTACTTATTTCCATCATTTATTTTTGCCACTCAGTCGCAGCAACTGTGTGCGAGTTCTTGTTCAATTTACAGAGAAATTCAACCTTACTCCCTTAACACCATCTTTTTCTAAAAGTGACAATAGTACAACCAGTATTGGTACCTACTGAGAAAGTTACTCAATTAATTGTAACTAGGTTTACGGTTATACAGTTACAAATTACGAGTACTATATCAACCATGGACCACGGACCCGAGGATTTCAGCGGTAGTAGTCGTCACCAGTCATAAGTTCAAAATGCTATGGTATCAAGGATTTGATTTTGCTTCATAGCTTAAATAGAGATTTAGATACAACTGCACTATTGATATCAACTTTATCAAACAAATCATCTGATAACAATTTACAGTAAAAAATAGAAGTTTGTATCAGATTATAGGGGGGTTGAGTATGCTTTGTGAATCACTCTGTATATTGTGTATACGATGGCGATGTATGAGCGTCACCCGTGATTTCCGAGGCGGTACAGGTGCGTAAAGATAGTGACAATGGAAATAATAATAACAACGAGCATCATTAAACCGCGAGTATACACACATATTGTTATGTACGCAAAAGGCCGCGGCAGCGTAAGAGAAAGACGCTACGGGATGGGGACAAAAAAAAAAAAATAATAATAATACAACTAACAATAACGGCGGAGGCAGCGACGACGACAATGACGACAATAATAATAATAAAGTCGTGGTGGATATCACACGTACCTACATATATAATACACCTTAAACACCTACACATATATACACGCTCGGCTCAGGTGTGACACGAGAGTATTTATACATATAGCTTCTGACTGAGAAATGTGTTGTATGTTGTATACATATATATATATATATATAAAGTGTCGCAAGCGCCACACGGCTTGTCCGAGCGTCCCGCGGCACAGAATAAATGGCTTTTCGGTATATAGGTATAAGGTTTTCCCCCTATATTTTTTTTCTCTCTCTCTCTCTTATCCCCAACACCTCCCTTTCCCTACCCTGGCCCTAGCCTCTTTCACGCAAAAACCGGCAGGGGTCGTAGCGATCCTTTCCGTGCGTGGGGGGGAGGATTCTAGGGGGAGGGTCGACAGCGGGGGATGATTCGGCGGGGGCGGCGGCCGGGAGTTTCGTGCGTATTGCGTGTGCGCGTGGACGCGTAAACGCGTGCGTGTGTGTGTGTGTGTCGGTGTGAGTGTATAAATGTGTGTGTGCGCGCGTGTGTGCGTGTGTGTGGTCTGCGGCGGCGGCGGCGGCGGGCAACGGTCTCTATCCTTTTGGTCGGGGAAAACGGCGACAGTGCTGTGCGAGTGTTGCGGCCGGATGAACGTGCAGGCGCTGTAGCGGTTGTGTGTGCATACTGCGCGCGGCACGGTCGGTGTGACTATCGAGTTGAGTGCGTCTGGACGGGTCGACGAGCGCAGTCGGTCGGATGTCCCCGCACAGCTAAGGCAAACTATATTATTATAATCTTGAGTGTATACATATATATTTATATATACTATATCGATAACCTCGACGACGGCGAATTCGGTGGTTTTCTGCATGTGCGCGACGTCGGGTTCTACAGCCGGTCGTCGACGTGGAAAAGCGTACGGAAAACGGCCACCGGGTGACAGCGGGTACGCACGTAAAGACCAGGAAGTGCACCGATAACACCAATAACTTACTGTGGTACATACAGCAGAAGTCCTTGCAATAACGGCGTGTGGGTAGTGGAAAAGCAGCTGCAGTAGCAGTGCGGAGAGTTGTGGAGGAGGCTGTGGTGGTACAGGTGCAGGTGCAAGTGGCGTTAGTAATAAAAACGTCGCAGTTGCAGTAGACTTCGTCTTCGCGGAGGAGCGGCTCGAGTCCGCGTGACAAGAGACGTTCCCCGGAGAGGACTGTTGTTGCGCGCGGATGGGTTGCGATCTGGGAAAACTGGCCAGCTCGGCCACGTCCGGCGACGACCGCGGCGGCAAGCACAAGGACGTGCTGGAGGAACCGCCGAGCCCGGGCCCACCGGACCCCAGGCTCCCGCTGACGGCCAAGCAGAAATACAGCATGATCGCATCGTGGAAGGGCATATCCAGGGCAATGGAACCCACCGGGGTGTACATGTTCATCAAGTACGTACCGCTCGTATATCATGTTACTACACCATGCCAGTCCTCGATATAATATAATATATTATGGAGCGAATTCACACTCCCCCACCATTAACCGTAACCGTTAAATTTTTATTCGTTGGCACCTCATATACTATTTTTATCCAAATACACGTGTGGGTTATGGGATGTGGGTACACCGTATATATACATATAATTAGTTCGGCCATTCTCTAGAAAAATGGTCTAGCGACGCCACTGGTATTGTTACGTTGTCCTTATCGCATAAACATTATTTGCGTCATATTTTATAATACATGTGTATAATGTGGTCTTGGGCTTATGCATAAGCTTTACATACCTATATTATATATTCCTACAAGCCTGAATTAACATTAAAGCCCAACCCCATTACTGCTGCAGGGTAAATAATATTATGGCGAGGGTGAGTGATAAAAGTGTCTGTAAGTTCCGTATAGATAATAATTATACTGTTTTTTTTTTTTTTTTTTTTTAATTGATCTTTAAAGCCGACTATGGCCATTAGCTAATTATTATACTGTTAGTTATACCTATAACAATTAACATAGAACTTATTAAAGATTACTGCTGTATGAGTGGTACATGACTGTAAATACAAAAAATAACATTTTATCAAAATTTAATTTTTTTTTTATTTAGTTACAATGACATATCAAAATATCCAGATATTATTTGTGTACTTGCTAATTGCTATGCTCCCCATTAATCAAAAGTCTCACGTTTCATTGGCTCTGGAACCTATCTCTACTCTCATTATACTATACCAATATTCATAAGGTTAGCAGGTTATTTATTACATGACAAGTTGGACTAATTATTTAATATTATGACATGTAATTCTCATTAATTGTTTTAATTTTATTTTTGAGGGAAGATAAGTGGGAAATATGAAACTAATATTTAGGGCTCACTGCAGCGTGGAAGGGTTCTGTATAGCCTAGTAAAGTTAATTTCACAACCGTCTTAGACCAGTTTCGTGTAGGTATAGTTTATAAGTCGTAATGATATTGTAATAATACCTAAAAATAATAATATTTTTTCTACCCCTTTTGCAACTTAATAGGATGTGCTCACAAGACCGCGAAACTATAGGGCCACCCGCCGGCCAATCGTTGCAGGTGAGGTTTTCGAGATTGACCTCGACCGATTATAATAATATGCACCGCGTTAGGTTAGAACGATGTTGTGTAAAAGCTATTTGCACGCGTCGCCGACGCCGAAGGGATATGATAATACATATATTATAAAGAGTTCTCGGGCACTTTATATAACCGCGACCGTGGTATATATATACATATATACGTGTATGGTGTCGATGACGACAACGACGAGCAAATAACACTTGACTCTTCAAACGTGGTATTTGCGTCTAGTGAATTATAGTTTAGTTTTTTTTCTCAAGCACATCCCAACAATGACGACGTTTCCGAGGAAAACGAAATAAGGTCGGGACGGAAAACGCGTGCATCGTAGTTTTTCCTCAACTCTGTAAAATGTAATACCTACCTTTTGCAGGGTATAACCGTTTGTTACATACGATTATAATATAATAAAAAAATGATTATTATTGATATTATTAACACTTTGTTGTGTGCAGATTAGGTTTACGCATAAATGCATAATAATAAATAATATTATAATATATATAAATCTATATTCCGTATGTGTTTGGATTTTTACTCGCATCGTATACGGTAACCTATAGGTTGTGCAAAAGGATGTATGTGTGTGTATATATATATATTATATACGGCCTGGATCACCCGACTTTAGGGTCTAACGTTTAAATCCGACTGAATTACCCACTCAAAAACCTCGGTATAATAATGCGAAAACGGGACGCGATGACATAACTACATAATTCAACGGGCGCATCAATACAATATATATATATATAATATAATAATATGACGCCGCGCCGACAAACTGTTTTCCGAATTCTATAGCCAGGATTTTTTTTTTTTATTATATATACGCGAGAATTGAAAAGATATCGAAAAGAAATCGGTATAATATCTCAGGTACACGTTGAGATGCGCAGGTTTATAAATTATAATAACAATAATAAATAATATTATTATTATAATACATCATCTCGAATCAATGCCTATATAGGTGGAGGGTTGAAAACGGAAATCGCTACGAACGGTGGAGGATTTACCTACACATATATAGGTAACATATTATATAGGTACATAAATAGAATGAATAATCGATGTACGGACGCACGTTACCATATTGTATATATTATGATGGAAAATAATATGATTAATAAATAATAATATTTAATAAGCAAACCGTAGCCGATGTGGCGAATGTGTTTTGTTTTGTTGATGATTTAAATTTTGACTAGACGTGTCAAACTACGTGTTTGTAGTCTCGCGATTCAAAATAATAATAATTATAACAACGATAATGAATAAACGGATGTTCGTCAGTTATTATGTTATACTGAACGAACGTGTGGAGGAGAATCGTAATTTGTAAAATTGTGTTCCAATACCATTAGGTATATTGGATTAGTAATGTTGAAAAATGCAGTACGTGTTATTTCTGTGGCATCATTAAGTTTGAGTTTCTCTTAGAACTTATACGCAAGTACATACAATTCTTTGCACGTTTCAATTACAATTATAATAAATTCTTGAAACTTAAAGCATATTAAGTATAAGTATTAGTCTGTATTACGACATTTACAATTATTTCGATGCACACAAGTCATATGATAAAAATAACATAAAAATTAAATATTTTTTTTTTTTTACAAAATTACATTTTTTTATTAAATCAATTGGTTTTTTATCGTCGTCAATCTGTTATAAGTTATAACCTATACAGAGTCATTCTTTAAAGTACGTTATTATTGAACACATACTTCACAAAAAATACTTTTGTCTTTTATGCTTTCATACTATATTTTCTTCATGTCAGCTGTTAGGAAGATATCAAAAAATTTTAATTTTAAAATTTATTTTGTAATATAATAATGTCGAAATTTATTTTAAAGTACAAACCATTCAATGTATATTATGTATTATGTACTCTATAGGTATAGGGATATTGCTATAATAGTATTATACACAGTACACACTCTATAGTACATTGTACTCTTAAGTTGCATACGATTATTTTATGGTATTTCAACCACTCGAATCAATGTCATAATCATAACTCAATAATGCATAAATTGATATTCAATGTTAAATAAAAAAATAAACCTATACCTGTTTAAAAGAGGATAAAGCTCTAAAAGTTTCAGTTTTCGTCAAGAGTTGTTGATACATTTAAAAAAAATAAAACCGCATTCAAAGATTTAAGTTGACTAAAGATTTTTTTAATCAATGTTATAGTAAAATATCATGAACAAGCAACCTACAAAAATAGTACGCCTAAAACACAAAATTCCTATTATTAATAGGAAATATTGTCTCCAAATGTTTTTAATTTTTTAATAAGTATTTGTATTGACCTACCTACATTTTTTCTGGGTTTTATGGAAAAGTTTTTTTTTACGTTTTATTCGATATTATAACTTTTCACGCCTACGATATAATTATTAATTTGTAAATACATAATAATTTAGAGATATTATAAAATATACTATTTAATTTAAGATATTCATGATATAAAAATATCAAAAATAGAACATGTTGTTTAAAATTTTAAAGGAAAATCATTGTAGATATGAACAAATTATAGTAACGTTTGAAGTGGAATTTAGAAGAGCCGTTAGTGGGAGCTATGTGTCAGTTTTAAATACAAATAAAAACGAATCGAATCGATCTCGTGTAAATTTAATAGTCATTCGTGACTGCGTCAGAAGTGCGCGTGGCAGTAGTGCGTTTCAATGTCAAAACAATAGTTATGATTGATGATTGAACTCACGGAAAATTGGTTTTTGTAGTACCTAAATATAACAATAATTTTAGATTGGCCAGACGAGCACTATAGACTATACAATTTGCTGGTGGATGGTGATTCACGTGGTTTAGTACAACCCTCGTCTGGGTGAACTTTGATGCATTTCAGTATTTTACACATTGAGGGGTTGCGCACGATCTCTGTACAAATATAACTACGGAAACACCGGTACGACTTACATCGAGAAAGCAATGGGGGTGGTGGATAGTGGTGGTGGGGTGGTTTGTTTTCAACAACAATGTTTGAGTTGAGGATAGTCGAGAGCAAGTAAGTTGCTTTGATTATATTATTATGATAACTATAGAAGTCCGTGAAACTATATTTTGTGTACACTCGGAGAACGTGTTACCAGGTCATTCATTTCCTAACCTTTTAACTATTTAGTGTTGTTTGCTAATATACATTTAAAAAGTATTCATGTTATAAATCAGTTTGTTCACAGTAATATTCAACACAATTAGTTAATATTTTGTATATTCATATTTTATCTGAGATTTTGTCGTTTAGAATTTACAGTTTAACACTTGCAATTATATAATATATATATAGGTATGCATATTAATAATATCACCTTTGTTTTTAAGAATACAATTACATAAATAACATTAAATAATATTTTATTTTCATTTTCATTTTTTAAATTGGCTGCAGATGTTGTCCAATAATATCCATCTCATAGACGAATTTGGCACAAAGCCATTTTTACGAATAAATCTTTATTTTATAATTTACTGTCACATATGAATGTTTCTTTGACGACAAAAAAATTATTATTGTTCGATCATTAAAAATTTGTACAATATAAATATCACAAAATCTTTAATTATATTAACAGTTTAAATATGAGTATGAGTTCAATATAAAATTATATCTATCATTTTGTATTATTCGGTGGCTACAACAAACTAAACACTCAGTTATATTATTATTCACATTAAAAAAATTAACAATAATTTTAAATACATAGTTGTTGCAGGATTAATAAGTATAGACACTTAATACTGATTTAACTAAATGCCAAGAACTGGAAACCGTCTCCTTGACTTTGATCACTTTTT